CCGCTCCTTGTGAAGGTGCTTGCGTATTGGGAATCAATGAACCACCCGTTAGTATCAAATCCATTGAATGTGCCATTATCGATAAAGGTTTTGAAATGGGTTGGATTGTTCCAGAACCGCCAGCAATGCGTACCGGTAAAAAAGTTGCAATCATTGGATCAGGTCCAGCAGGTCTTTCCGCAGCAGATCAACTTAATAAGGCTGGCCATCTCGTCACAGTATATGACCGGAATGATAGATTTGGTGGCCTTCTAATGTACGGTATTCCAAACATGAAATTAGACAAGAAAATTGTACAAAGGCGAATTGACCTCCTCGCCGATGAAGGAATCAAGTTTGTTTCAAATGCTCATGTTGGTGTTGATGTCGATGCATCTAAGATTAAGAGAGAGAACGACTGTATGATAGTCGCAACAGGTGCAACTTGGCCACGTGATTTGAAAATACGTAAGTATTTTATTGCTTTCATCTTTTTGGGTCGAAGTTTAACTTTTCTCAACGTAATTTTATTTCATTTCATGTGATTAGCCAATAGAAACCTTGACGGCATTCATTTTGCCATGGAATTCCTTCAATTAAACACCCAGAGTTTGTTGGATTCAAACCTTCAAAATTCCCGCTATATCAACGCAAAGGATAAGAACGGTATGTAGCTTTTTTTATCGGAATTAATTTTACAAAAAAAAAAAATATGAATTGATTTTGTAATTTTTCATCATACCAATAGTCATCGTGATAGGTGGTGGTGACACGGGATGTGATTGTATAGGGACATCGATACGGCATGGTAAATATTCTTATCATCATTGTTTTGTTTTTACTATCCGATTTTTTTATTTCTTCATAGTTTCTTAATCGATGTGCTTGATGTAAATTTTAGGCGCCAAATCAGTCGTAAACTTTGAGTTGTTACCTCAACCACCAGCAACGCGCGATCCCATCGAAAATCCATGGCCGACCTTTCCAAAGGTTTTCCGCATTGACTATGGGCATTCTGAAGTTATTACACATTTTGGAAAAGATCCTCGAGAGTATAATATATTATCAAAATCCTTTGTGAGTGACGGCAATGGACACGTTTCTGGTGTTAACACAGTTCGCGTAGAATGGACAAAAGATCCGGTCACCGGTCGATGGTCAATGAAAGAAGTTAAAGGAAGCGAACAATTCTTCCAAGCTGATCTTATATTTTTGGCACTTGGTTTTATGGGTCCAGAAGAAAAGTTAATAAATAGTTTAGGATTAAAGGTCGATGCTCGTACCAATATTGAAACGTTTAAAGGAAAATACAGTACAGCTGTACCGGGAATTTTTGCTGCCGGTGATTGTCGACGAGGACAAAGCTTGATTGTTTGGGGTATTAATGAAGGAAGACAGGCAGCAAGAGAGGTCGATCAATACTTGATGGGTAATACAAATTTACCTGTAACCGGAGGTATTAAACAACGTACCCTGGAATCTTTAACGCATCAGACGCATCCAGGTTTAGTTGCTATGGCAACTTGGAGATGATAATTTATTTATCAAAAAAAAAAAAGAAAAAAAAAATCATCAAACCATGGACAATGACAAAAATTTTTTATTTTCATTATTGGACTTTTTAAATATTCAATTTCAATCGTTTTTTTTCTTTTAATCGTACTTTAATTATTTTATTTGTTTGGTTCTTTTTGTATTTATAATTTTTTTTTTTACCTTTGCATTATACATATAAACTCTTTTTGTACAATTTTTTTTTTTTGCATTTAATTTTAAAAAATAATAAAAATAATTTTATTAAATAGAAATATATACGTCACGAAATAATAAAAAATGAATTATTTATTATTATTTATTTAAAGTAATTTTTTTTTTTTTTTTTACTTTGTCGGTCGCCCGAATATCCCGACTGCGGCTCGTATGTCCGATATGTCATCGTACCCGGAAACAAGCCTCTCCTAAGTAAATTTTGAGATTTATAATTGATTTGGTAATATATGTTTTTTTGTATCATAAAAAAAATTTTTTTATATAAATGGTAAGAAATTAGAGCAGGTAAAAATAAGGCAGAGAAATTGTTCCAAGAGGCAAGGAGAATGTGGAGCAGTTCCAACAGTTCGAAAGATGGAGGCCGAAGATTGGATGGGCGAAAATCAAAGAGTTGGGAAGAACAATGCAGGTTGATCGAAGAAAAGCATAAATTAGAAAAGATAAAGATTATGAATGGGAACAAGTAAAATATTTGCAACTTGAATTTCTGAATATTATAAAAAAGGAGAAGGTAACTACGTAAAATATATATATATATATATATTTAAAATTATTTTCTATCCATTACATTTATTTTATTTATTTAAGTATACTGCTTACAACTTAACTTTCTTTTTTTTTCCATTCATCACTTTCTAGGTTGCTTCCTATTTGCATCATAGAGAAAGATCAAGGTAAACATGCTTAATATTTTATCCATCAACTCTTTGCACATATTAAATTTTTTCCTTTTTTTTCACGTCTTACAAAAGGTGTGCAAGCAGGATTAAAAACGTAAAATTGGGAGTAAGTTCATTATTTGCAAATCATGAAAACTTATTTTCTTCAATCATTTAGTTATAATTTAATTTTTATAGGTCAGGAAAAAAGCTTAAGCAAGATCCGTAAATAGGTGGATCTTCATCAGTTGCCATGCATCATGAATTTTTTAACATACAAAAACAAAAGGTTATTTTGAATGGACATGTATTGGCCCACCTATTTCTCATACAACAAAGTTTTTCTGCTGATTTTTTGACTTTTTCTCTTATAGTCAAAATTTAACCATTTGAATATACTCAATAAAAGGTCACGCATGAATTAATTCATTAATCATGTTACTAAATTCATTAGTAGTACAAATTGAGTATGAAACTAATAATAATGGAATATCGTTTGTAGAAAATCTTTGTGGTAAAAATGGACTACAAATTGTTCTTGAAATGATAAGATTGGTGAGGGGGGAAGTGATCATACAATTCAAGCAGCTTTTTCATATGCAAAGTATTGGATACAAAAAGAGATTTTTTAATATATTTACAAATTTTTCTCTTTAATTATTGTTTAATTAATTATTTTTATCATAGCGTAATAAAACAGAGCCATACTTCTTGCTGTTACTTGTCCGTGGATCTGGCATTTATACTTCTAATCCAGTGATTAGTTCTCTTACTAATTTCATTCCAATGTTACCTAGTTTTGATGAAAAATGCTAACTTACAATTGCACGTCTTTTTCAAGCATTATACAATGCAAATCAATATTTAATGAGAACTTGATGTATCTAAATATGAAATGATTGAGAACCCTCAGCGATTTTTTCAATACATCATAGATGATAATAGAATAATAAAATTTATATGAAAGTTGGTTGACAGAAAACAAATCAAAGCTTTTATTTAAGGGAAGAACTGATGATGAATGTGAAATTGTTATCAAATTTATTTAGAGATATAATACTAAAGCACATCATTTTTGTGCTGGAAGAAATTTTGCACCAAATCTTTTTTATGTTGGTAACAGCAATTTGGAAGGATGGTATTGTAATGAAATATATTAATGGTGAAACATAACAGATTATAAATATTACAGAAGAGAAATATAATGACATTTTGAAAATATTCAAGAGGCTATTAATATTTTGCATACTAATGATATTGTTTTTGGTGATTTACGTAGTTCAAATATAATGGTAGAAGAGGTTGATGGAAGGTTACAAGTAATGCTTATAGATTTTGATTGGGCTGAAATATATCAAAAAATCGTTATACACCTAAAATGAATCCAGAAATTACATAAGTAATTGGGGCTGAAGGAAATGCTTTAATGCATAAAGATCATGATTTACACTGGTTAAAATGAACATTAATGTAAATATTTGTTTCATGATAGTTATATTTTTTAGTATTCTAATAACTATAATAAATCTAAAGTTTTATGTTGTGAAGTATATTAAATTTTTAAAAATAGAGAGTTGAAAAATGCATGACAGACAGATATCTTTCTCCATGAATTATAATTATTTAGTTAGGGTCAATAAATCTCATTTCTATTCCATCCATCCACTTTTTTGCAGTTTTTGTCGTTCATTCTACCTATCAGATATTTTTCAAGTTTAAGATCGAGTTTAGCAACAGCAGGAATTTATGGAGGACCCAGAGAAATATTTTTCATTGTCCAATTTTTGTGAGGAAGTGATGAATTCAGTTTAATTCATGGGGTATTAAAATTACATTACAAATGTTTCATTTTTACATATACAATCGAAGTATAAAGTTCTTGATTCTGTTACTTCCTTATCGTCCTGCGTCATATTTACTAATAATACTGAATACTTAGTAATACTCGTGTGCTGAAAAAAAAAAAAATCGTTTAACATGAAGTGAGTCGTAATAATATTATATTAGTACAGTAAATATAAAATAAACATTTGGTTACTATAGTTGTTAATTACAGTAATTGCAGATTTAGAAGGTATTTTTTTACTAAAGCCAAACTTTTAATTGCAAACTTTCTGAATATTAGTACTGAAGTAAACACTGACGATTTTACCACATCATAATTATTTTAAAATCGAAAAATAAACTCAATATATTTTACAAGAACAGCTATGCTATTTACAAGCACATATACTACGTCAGGGATTAATATTGTCCGGGTGATATTTACTATAAACCTCTAGGCGATATTCACTGAAATTTTATGGAAAAGTGTGTAATCAAACGTATCATTATCGATATTTGGAATATATTTTTATCGGAGTTAGGAGTCAAGTAATTGAGCAACCATGTTTCTTATGATTGTTTGGTCGTATGATGAGATATGTAACCATAGTACTGCCAATTTTTGTTATAAATTGACATCGTACTTTCATTTTTAAAAATGAAGGCACATTTCACACAAATTACAAAAACATATTTATACCTTTGTACAAATGTTATCCATTTATTAAAATTATAAACTCGTTTATTCTTGAAAAAATTTAAAAAAAAATGTTTTACGTTTATGTATTAGAATGTAGCGATAACAAATATTATGTTGGCAGTACTGCGGATTTAAATGTTAGACATCGTCAACACTTGAATGGTTCTGGCTCAGCATGGACAAGAGAATATCCTCCAATCTGTATTAAATGGAGTAAGAAAACTAATAATGAAAATTTAGAAACGATCAAAACTCTTGAATATATGAGTCAATATGATATCGATAATGTAAGAGGTGGGGATTATTGCCAGTTGGATTTATCAGATGATGATATTGACGATATCAATTACAAGTTGGAACATAGATGTTATCAATGTGATAGACCTGGTCATTTTGCTGATAATTGTGTTTGTGATGTGTGTGGTAATCGTGGTCATCTTACCGATGAATGTCTTCATTGCACTAATTGTGGTAAACGTGGTCACTCGGAAGTGGATTGTTATAATTGTTACAAATGCGGTAGACCTGGTCATTCTCCTGATAACTGCGATGCTTGTTACTTGTGTGGAGAACGTGGTCACTTTTCCAATGATTGTGGATACGTCTTTCCTTAACCAAACAATCTATTGAATTCTTAAGATCGAGTTTTTAAAATGGGAGAGAGAGTAGGTGATGAATTTTAATATAGTTAATTTATACAAAATATCAATATATAAATTCAATTCACCTAATGTATACTGTATTTAAACCTATAAATCTTCAATATTTTATAATTTAAAGTCCTGACATGAAATTTAAAGTCACATGATATTTTGTGATTTAAGATTGATAAAATAAAAAATTTATTGAGAAAATATTTAGGAACAAGAGAAAATAGTTTTCTGAAAATTATAGAAAGGCACGTGATATTTTCTTTTCATTAGGAAGAATTTGAATAGGATGCTTTCTAAGTCATATTTCTAGTCTTTTCTTCCTTTTTGCAGTTTTTGTCGTTCATTCCACCTATCAGATATTTTTCAAGTTTAAGATCGAGTTTAGAAACAGCAGGAATTTATGGAGGACCTGCAGAAATATTTTTCATTTCCAATTTTTGTGAGGAAGTGAATGAATTCAGTTTAATTCATGGGGTATTAAAATTGCATTACAAATGTTTCATTTTTACATATACAATCGAAGTATAAAGTTCTTGATTCCGTTACTTCCTTGTCATATTTACTAATAATACTGAATACTTAGTAATTCTCGTGTGCTAAAAAAAAAAATCGTAGAACATGAAGTGAGTCTTAATAATATTATATTAGTACAGTAAATATAAAATAAACATTTGGTTACTATAGTTGTTAATTACAGTAATTGCAGATTTAGAAGGTATTTTTTTACTAAAGCCAAACTTTTAATTGCAAACTTTCTGAATATTAGTACTGAAGTAAACACTGACGATTTTACCACATCATAATTATTTTAAAATCGAAAAATAAACTCAATATATTTTACAAGAACAGCTATGCTATTTACAAGCACATATACTACGTCAGGGATTAATATTGTCCGGGTGATATTTACTATAAACCTCTAGGCCGATATTCACTGTAATCAAACGTATCATTATCGATATTTTTATCGGATTTAGGAGTCCATGTTTATGATTGTTTGGTCGTACGATGAGATATGTAACCATTGTACTGCCACATTTTGTTATAAATAGACATCGTACCTCATTTTTAAAAATGAAGGCACATTTCATTTCACACAAATTACAAAAACATATTTATACCTTTGTACAAATGCTATCTATCCATTTATTAAGTTATAAACTCGTTTCTTCTTGAAAAAAATTTTTTAAAAAAAAAAAATGTTTTACGTTTATGTATTAAAATGTATCGATAACAAATATTATGTTGGCAGTACTGCGGATTTAAATGTTAGAAATCGTCAACACTTGAATGGTTCTGGTTCAGCATGGACAAGAAAATATCCTCCAATCTGTATTGAATGGAGTGGAAAAACTAATAATGAAAATTTAGAAACGATCAAAACTCTTGAATATATGATACAATATGGTATCTATAATGTAAGAGGTGGGGATTATTGCAAGTTTGATTTATCAATTGATTTTGCTGAGATCCTTTACAAGTTGATATGTAAATGTCCTCGCTGTGATAGACCTGGTCATTTTGATAATGAATGTGCTTGTGACGTGTGTGGTAATCGTGGTCATCTTACCGATGAATGTCTTCATTGCACTAATTGTGGTAAACGTGGTCACTCGGAAGTGGATTGTTATAATTGTTACAAATGCGGTAGACCTGGTCATTCTCCTGATAACTGCGATGCTTGTTACTTGTGTGGAGAACGTGGTCACTTTTCCAATGATTGTGGATACGTCTTTCCTTAACCAAACAATCTATTGAATTCTTAAGATCGAGTTTTTAAAATGGGAGAGAGAGTAGGTGATGAATTTTAATATAGTTAATTTATACAAAATATAAATTCAATAATATGATAAATAATATTGTTTCAAACATAATAATAAAACGTTTATTAACTATTTATCTACTGTATACTGTATTTAAATCAATATTTTATAATTTAAGATCCTGTGATTTGAAAAAGAGTTTTCTGAAAATTATAAAAAGGAAGTGATCCGTAAATGTTATATAGGATGTTTCTAAGTCATCATTAAAAGAAAATTAAATTTTTATCAAACAAAACTAGTCTTTTCTTATTACAATATGTTTTATAATTGAATAAAAAAATAAGCTCTAACAAAACTACTAGTATTTATCAATTTGCCAAGAAATAGATTTAAGATTAGGGTTGGGAAATTTTGTATGTGCTAGATAAAATTAACATTATACTTAATTATTATAAAATACTAACTATAAAATTATATTAATAGTGTACTAATCCCAATCCTACTTATGTTACTTGTTTTCATTACAACCTAAAATATGTGCGATAATATATGATTTTCCTCACTGCCAAAGTGGTCGCTGTAATAATATATTTTTGTAAATACTTTGTTCTTCTATTTCATTTAACCAGCCATATGATATGTTTCTAACCTTAATTTTATTTTGTATTATTACTTCCATTATTTGTTGAATGCAGCTTTAGATCGCTTGAGCATTTTCATAAGTTTCGGCTTAAAACCCTTTCGTTTGATTTTCTGTTTTAAGGTTCTAATGAATTTTTTTAAGTGTTGAACTCTTTGTGGTTTGTCTTCTTGATTTTCTATTTGTCTTAATACTTCTTCGAATTCCCCCGTTTCATTACTTATTACACTTCCAAACGTTGTTACTGTGTCGTTATTTTGTTTATACATAATGGTTTAGGTTATTTATTCCTCTTTGTTTTCTCCAATGTAATGGTTTATATGTATATACAGTACAACATTCACTTTAATAGCAGATTTTTCAGAAGATTATGCAATAAGGTTACATGAAATACTCAGATGACAGCTTACGACCAAAGTGTCCTACAATAGCAACGTAATTAAAACTAAAATGCAAAAGTCGTGCTCGCGAAAGAATGATCCGAAAGGGTAGTATTTAAACCAGCAACAATCAGTTTTTTTATGCGAAGCCATCTGGTAATAATGTTTTGTAATAGTAATAAAATGATTTTATGACAATACAGTGTTTCCCTTTATATTGGCCCTTCAGGACCATTCTTGAATCATTAGTTTCTTTTTTCAAGAAGATTGCAGCCATGATTACTGCAAGTATCTAAGGAATTCGAAACGGTGCTGCTCAACTAACGCTACAAAATACTTAATTACTGTATATGTTAATCTAACTGCGGGAATGATTTCACGTTTATCATGAAAATCAAGATCTTGAAATGAAAATCGACAATTGACAGCGATATTCTGAATAAACATTATGAACGCGCAAAATAATTACAAATTCATATTTCCGAAAGGATCAAAATTTTATATTTCTTTGTTTATGAATCAACGAAATGTACAATTTCTAATACCAATAATACTTTCATGAGTGTGTGGACTTTTTACTGATGAAAGTTTTGTTATATACAGTATTATTGCAGAATTCAACTAAACGAAGAACAAATTATAACTATTCAGACAATTCCGTAATGTAATTATATAAATAAAACTGTTTACATTGGTAATTGGTTTGAATTTGTTGTAATTTTTTTCTGTGCATAAATCTTCATGCATTTTTCTTATCCAACGTTGTGTTAGTTTCAAAAAAGTGAAAACCAATATTGCTTTAAAGGTTCAAAAAAGACTGCTACATGGCATGATTTTGATTTCCTTAAGTTAGATTGTTAACTGTATTTATTGTTTTTAATTTTTAATAAATCTTTGATTTACAACCCATTTCACTATTTCATGTGATCATCATCCTTTATAAAGTTAGATTCATTGTTGATATTGTTGATGAATACAAACATCACAAGTATTGTGACAAGATCAACTATATTTATGGTTAATACAAAATTTTTTATAATAAATTCCTCACCCTTCCTTTTTTTTTCTTTTTTTTTTTTTAATCATATTCTTTTTTGATCGTGTATCCATAATTTTTTAATACTTAAGATGAAATCCGATTTATTTTCGGTGTTATCAAGGGATTTAAATGAATTATTAAGTGAACATGAAGAACAAAATGTAATAATACAAATTGGAAACGAAGTAAATTATAAAGAATTTTATGCCCATTCAATTATTTTAAGAGCAAGATGTAAATATTTTAAATCAGGGTTATCCTGTGATTGGGTAAAGAGAGAAGGAAATCGAATTATTTTTAAGAAACCAAATATTACACCCGAAGTATTCGAAGTCATCTTAAAGTACGTATATCGTGATGTCAGTGTGATCATACCGAAAAAACAAAAAAAAAAAGTTTTCGCTCACCCTTACTCTCTCTTTTTGTTACCGTTTTTATGACTCTGGTGTTATAGGTACATATATAGTGCTACCATAGCATTCGAGAAATATGATGTGATGCATTTGTTGGATGTCTTGGTGGCCGCTGATGAATTATTGTTATCTGAAATGGCGGAATCAATACAAGAATATTTATTAAATCATAAAGCGGAATGGTTACAAAAGGATTTTACCAAATTATTGAGGAAAAGTCAAGAATTTGATTGGTGTGGTAAAGTTCAAGAATGTTGTCAGGCTATCGTGTGTAACGATCCACTTTGTTTGTTCGAATCATCAGAATTCTTAACACTGGAAGAAAATTTAGTCATATCATTTTTGAAATTAGATAATTTAATAATGAAAGAAATTGAAATTTGGAATTATCTATTAAAGTGGGGTAAATCGCAAATACCACCAAAAGAAGATGGAAGCCCAGCGATTGATGATGATGAAAGTAAATGGACTAAAGATGACATCCATATATTAGGCAAAGCATTAAAAGGTTGTATACCACACATAAGATGGTTTCACATTGAACCGAATTTATTATTTAACAAGATTTGGCCGTTAAAAGATATTTTCCCTCCGGAATTATTGGGGGAAATTTTTAGATATTATTTCACTTCTAAATCCAATTTAACATCGATAGATTCTTCTTTTATTTATTATAAACCACAAAGACCTCTCCCATTTGAATCATCTATATTACAACAACTTCACGTGGCAAAATTGGCCAACTGGATCGATCGTAAAGATGGAAGGAATGATACTCCTTACACTTATTATAACATTCCATATAATCTCAAATTACTCGTGAGAGGAAGTAGAGATGGTTTTGATAGCGGTACTTTTCATGATACTTGTGATTCAAAAGGTGCAACTTTGGTCGTTATGAAGGTTAGAGATACAAATGAAATTTTAGGTGGTTATAATCCCGTTCATTGGATGACTGGAAATGGTCATCTCACAACGGAAGACAGTTTTATATTTTCTTTTGGTAAAGGTACACCTGATAACGATCTGGAGGGTGATACTCCTTGTACGTGGGATAATCTAAATGAGTTTAAAATTAGTAGGCCAAGAAGGTCTGAATATGCCATTAGAATTAAAGATAGAACTTGTGGACCTTGCTTTGGTGATAAAGATTTATGGATGACAAGTAATTTTAACGAAGATGAAAATTGTTCGGCTGTTAAAGATGATTATGAACTTGAAATCACTCCTACCGAGAAATTTTCCGTGGACGAATATGAGGTTTTTCAAGTTTTAAATAAAATCATTATTAAAGATGTAGTATCAAATGAGAATAATAACGACAACAATGATGAGGAACAAGCTGGAAATTTAGCCGGTGGAGATAACTCGACAGCGAATGAAGTAAATGTGGAGAATGTGGAAGATGTTACCGATACCACTCACGTATTTGATGATGCTGATGATAATAATGATCACGAAATTAATTCACAAAACCAACCAACTTCTGTAGATGATAATAATGATCACGAAGATAATTCACAAAATCAACCTGATTTTACAGATATTCAGGACATTCCTTAATTAAATTTAATATATCTCTTTCCTTTTTTATATTCGAAATTCAAAATAAATTTGTGTAAATTTTAAACAAAAACTTTAATTATTATTGTTTTAATGTGTTATGTAAAAAAAAAAAAAAGCTGTTAACTTGCAGTAAATTCAAAGATCAATTGAATGTAAAAAAAGAAAAATGGATTCTCAAAAAAATCAAGCACGTTAAAATTTGACACATAATCTTCACTAGATTTGTCACTTCAAAATTATCATCAATTTCACAACTCCTTTTCTAATATTTGAACTTTTTTTAATTTTTATATATTATTAAGTTGCCTGGGGGTTTTGCAAGTCGTCTAATGGTAAAAGGTAAAATTTAGCGAAACTAAAAAAAGGTAAACTTTACTTAAAATGCGAAACTATATCAAAACCTTAGTAAAAAATATTAAGTTTAGACGTTTTGCCAAATCTAAAATGAGTTTAGACAAGCAATCTTATATATTATAAATCTGTAAATAATTAAAATTAATAGTATAAGAAAATGTTAAATTATATGAATATGTAATTTTATAAATTAATATTAATATAAATTTTTTCAATAATTAGATAGTTATCTAATAGATATATATGTTCAATTAGATATCATATATATCTAAATTTAACAGTAATCATAAAATTAACATTTTGGAAATTTATAATATTAAAATTAAAAAAATTATATTAATTAATTAAATTATTTAATTATTTGATAAAATTAAAACATTTAAACAATTCTATAATAATTAAATATTAATGATTTAAAATCTAAATATATATATATATAGGTATTTTATAAAAAAAAAAAAAAATTTAAGAGAAGGTTAGAAATCACATATTTAGTGAAAAAGGGTAGGAGGAATTCTATTGATCATTTCCTATAAATAGTAATTTTATATTTTATATTTTATATCATACATTAAAAATTTAATAAAATTGTGATAAATTTTATGAACAATTATTTATATGTATAAAATTTATTATTAAATTTTAATTATTTATGATCTTTATAAGTATGCAATTTTTGAACACAATGTAAATTATATAATATATATTTATAATACTATACATAAATTGCTTTTTATATTTAGATACAAAAGATAAAGTTAAAAAATATCTCATACATAAATTGTAACTAAAGTTGCTAGATGAAATCTAAAGGTTTTGCTAAAATTTAATAAAATTATATTAAAATCTTATTATAAAAATCTGTAAAATTCTGAAAAAAAGTAAAACTATATCAAAGCTTATAAAAATGTAAAATTATATCAAAACTTTAGTAAAAAATTAGCAAAACTAAAGTTTAGACATTTTGTCAAATCTAAAATAAGTTTATATAAGTAACTTTAATTGTAATATAATTGTTGATATAATTCAAAAGATATAAATAAGCAATACTGATCATACTTGAGAATTTTAATATATCAAAATATTTAAAAATGTAAATTAAATTCAAGAAATAATTATTATAACCTTTAGAGATAGATGAAAGAAAGCTATTATTTTAAGCCAATAATATAATTGCTACTTTACAATACTTTGGTCTGCAGATTTTAAATTATTATACTTATGAATATTAAAAGAATAATAATAAATTTGATGCTTTTATTTTCATATTATTTTCTAAAACATATTTAATATATATAGAGTAATCATTGATATGAATTTTTTTCACAACATATATAAAGTTTTTTTAAAATAAATAAAATTCTGATATATCAAATTATTATCAATTACTTTTTCATTTATAAATAATTATCATATTTATTATGAAAAAGAGTAATTTTTGCAAGTTTTTTAGATAAAGATATTATATTTTATTTTACAGGATTATATGCAGACTGATCAAATACGTATATATAAATTATTATATAATCTAAATCTATATTATAAAAATACTTGCAATATTTTTTAAATAATAAGATTTATCAAATATTCTATTTACCAAAAGAACTAAAATTAAACGAAATATATTATTACTATCCAAAAAGTATTTAAAAGTTTTGAAAATATTGAATTTTTCTTTAAATTATATATGTAACTTAAAGTTATTATTAAAAATTATAATTTTAATCATAGAAAAATTATCAAATATTCTAATCATATTGATTTATTTATATTAGTTAAATTAAATTATAAGATATACTAAGAGAATTAATTTATACTGAAAAATTATAAGAAATAAATATTAGTTTATTTTGTAATTAAACTGTTGAAAAAGTATATTTTATTATTAAAATTCTTAAAGGAATTTTTACGTTATTATCTTGTAAAATAATGATTAAATATATTTAGAAAAAAGTTTCTGCAAATTATCTAACACCTTTTATTAAAGTTAAATAATAATGATCACTTTCATATGAGTTTATTTTATTTTTAAAGATTGTAACATTTCTGATAAAAACTGAATAATCATGACATTTTGCTTAAGTAGAATTTAAATAGCATAATATAAGATATATTTAAAAATAAGACTTTGATATATACTATTAATAATTTTTTTTCATAGCTATTTGAAGATAAAAAATAGGGGTTGTCTAAAGCCGTATTCGATCACGTGATCAGCAGATTGGTGGTATCACGTCGGAAGATCGGCTGTGATCCAGATAAGTTACGTAGTCACGTGAAATGATAAATATTGTTATGTATTATATAGTGTTCTAATTTTAAAGATTAAATATTGTAACATAAAATGTTATTTTTTATTAGCATATATAATAAAAAAATTTTATTATTAATATTACATTTGATTATTTAGAAAAAGTTCTAAACTATCTTTTAGTTTTCTAATAAATGAGTTAGTTTGATTTGTGTCGCCTTTCTCTTCAACTCTCCAATATATATCACACATCCTTTCCATTAGTTCACTTACGGTTAACCATCAATTTTCCAATGCTTTCTCAGCTTCGGTTATCCTAGATACTTCTAATTCAACTAGTTCACAATGTATATATATATCAAACCCAGTCTCATTAAACATTTGTTGAAATTTTTCTCACACATCAGATGTTAATAGCTTTATAGCACCATACATATTTTCATGGAATACATGACGGCAAGGTAGTAAATACCAATAAAAAAATAAGCAGTAACAATGTAAAGACGTAAGACCCAGTGCTGGCTTGCCTTTCTCTATTCGTCCTTCAATAGCGCAAATCTCACCAATAAGTATTTGTTGGATTAGAAACAGAAATTTATGAATTTCACAAAGGATCTCATCATCAACACCAATAGTCGAAATCCTTTTAGTTCAAAATCATAAGCAACACGTTCTGAATCAGAGTGTTTTTTTTCATCAAGTGCAACTATCTTATGGCAGGCACCTAATAATATTAAATTAGATTAGATGAAGTTATCTTATAAAAAATTATAATATAAAAAAATAAATACTAATTAAACCATATTGTGAGAAAGAGGTTCTCTTTAATTCACTGTAATATAATTCTAAGGCATTTGTTGAAGTTACTTGCGAAAGAAGAGAGAAATGCTGTCGTGTCCAAAGCCTCCATTGATGCATATTTCTCGTGTAATTCCTTGAGATGTATTGTTTAATGGTCAGATTTGAGCATTCATTGATCGCTTGTTGAACCAAATTCTCACACCCAATCTTAGTCCTTTTGTGCATGGCTTGGATCATTTTTTGTTGTGTCTTCTTATCGTAAATTCTTCTCATCCAGGTTCGCATGATATGCACTGTACAAAAAATAATATTGCACTCCTGTTCACCAACTTCAAGACCTGGAAAAGCCATTTTGATGCCATTGGATTCTATATTACTTTGGTCAGAGAGAAAATATCTTGGACTCCAATAATTTGTAAATCGTTTAATTATTTTTAAGCTCTCCGCAATAGTATGACTATCTTTATTGCTTACAAAGAAATGAACCCTGACGTCCTAACATCCATAATTATTGTGAATATAAAAAGTAAACAACTGACAATCGTATTTATTAGTCTTGTGTGTGGAATCTATAAGAGTTAACCAGCCATGTTGCTCAAAATTTTTGAGTTGATTTAGTTTTGCAAAAACAAAAACGTAGGTTGACAAATAAGAAATTTTATAATACTCGACCAAATATTCTTATTCTCTTAAGAAGGAAATGGCCTCTTAAATATCTACACTTCGTTTAGAATTGCCAATAAGATATACATCAAGAGATCCACGCACTTTATATTTTATGTTTATAACTTCCTTTAATTTCAACTCCTTTACGCTTTCTTCTAGATCCAGTTCTACAGTTGCATATTCTTTTACTACATTAATGATTTTCAGTGGTCAGTAATTTTTTAGAGCCTCTTGCACAACCAAATCTCAGACAGTTTGAGAACGTTAATCTTTTCGTTTTCCTCCAAAGAGTGCATATGGTCAGGTGAGTTCTTAAATCGTTCAATTCATACTTTTTGTTCAGAAATGTAATGTTGAACTTTGATTTTTGCAGAATACAAATCGGCCAGCTGAATTTTCGTTATGCAGCATTTCTCATATGGAACACCTCCCTTCTGGGTACTTGATTTATTATACTTGTTAAATCGACAAATAAAGACCTTCCATAAATCACCATTAACGTTGTTTTTAGAGCTATACCCAACCCATACATTCGACACAAGAGGCTACCACTCCTCATCAAATTCTTTTATTGAAAGTTCAAGTGGTTGTTTGACATTGAAAAGACGGATTTGTTTTTGATTAAGAATTAAGGCTACAGAGGTAGGTATGTTTATAATATTAGAAGCAAATAGTGTGGTCATTGATTATTTGCGATAGATATTAAAATGGTGAAAATTCTAAGGAATACCACTGAAGAAAACTTCAAAAAAAATCGGAGAAAGAATTTTTGGAAGAAAAAAAAAACTCCTGAAAAAAAAAACTTCAGAGAAAAAACCCTAAGGTAAAGAAACTTCAAAGAAATCAGAGAAAAAATTTTTGGAAAAAAAAAAAACTCCTGAAGAAAAAAAACCTTCAGAGAAAAAAAAACTCCAAAGAAAAGGCATACA